CAGCAGTGCCACTAGGAGATTATTTTCAGGTACCAGTTAAGAATCTCCCCACACTGACAGAAAGCAACCGAGGACAGAAAGAACAGAAGAGAGGGAACGCCTTCTTGTACTTCCCTACGACAGGCCAGTTTCATCCGCGACGCTGAAAGATGCTTGTGAATAGGGCTTTTGAAGTCTCGCTTTAAAATTTCCTTTATGCCACTGGAGAAGGCTCTTTTTTCTCTGTCCCCTGTATTCGCTGTCATCTACCGCCACAGAAGATGAATAAGCAGCACGGAATGTCATTCGATGACAAGAAAGACTCTGGTTTGGCGTGTCTCTTGACCGGATCTGCTTTAACAGCACGGTCACTTGACCGCACTTATGAATATTTACACGTTGTCAGCGGCCCTCGAACATACGCCCTGCTGAGGGGGGGCGCACAGGAACCACTTCAGGTCCGTGTGAATGCTGGCGGCTGTTCACAAAAAGAGGACATTTTTAAAAACGCACTCGTGCTGACACACCTTATCATGTCACTCCAAACAGGCTAACTGCTTCGTAACCCGTGGTAACACATTTACATTTTATTTACTTAGTAGATACATTTAGGCAAAGTGAAATGCATCTTTTTCTTTGAACTTAGGGTCAAACAGTCCAAACCCAAACCAATTAGGGTTAACGGCCCTATGGTAACATCATTCTTTCGACCCTGATGATTGACTCGACCTTCTGATCACAAGCACAGCAGCCTTACCTGCTGAGGCACCCCCCCCCAAGGAACATGAAAGTGAGCAGACATGAAGAACATGGTGCTGTTTACCAGAGAACCAAAGTCAAAAATATCTTACGGGTATGACACCCTCTCCCCGACATCTAAGACTCAAGAACAGTGATGGACTTTCTGTGAATATGATTAAAATTCACAGCTCCCCTGGAAAGCAGGAGTTTCCTATGTAGTGGTGACTGAAATATGAACACATCTGGCAAAGCGCTCCTTTGTCAGAATAATCCTGAATGGCTGCAGATAGGCTGTTTCATGGCTCTCCAAGCCGCTGACATGCAAAGCCATTACGGCAGCTGCTCGACTCCTTACACAGGAACAGTGTGGGCGAGACGGACGGGCGACACGAGTGGCCGAATCCTGTGGGACAGGCCCGTGGTGACGGATTTAATGAGTGACACCGGGCAAAGCCGGCTTGAATAGAGAGAGCCTCTCAGCGACCGTCTACACCAGCCAATCTTATCTGCAAAGAGCCAGAGTGTATGCAGGTTTTTGGGATAACCTGTAGGTCAGCTGTTCAAACCCAGGTGTGAGGAGGACTCAGCCTATCAGTCCTCTAATTAGTAATATAATTAGGGAGCTGCAGCGAAAACCTGCACACACAGCAGCCCTCTGCGGATAACATTGGCCACCCCTGGTCTACACCAATATATCTCAGCTGGGGATCGCAACCCAAAAGTGGGACCATTTTCACTGGGTTGCAAAGTGTGTGGTTAAAATATTTTGAAAAAATTTTCTACTGACATTTTTGTTTTTAATGGTGCACGAAAGCGTTGTGCACAGCTCAGGGAAGTTCTACTTATACAAAAACGTTCTGAAGGCAGAAAAAAATGGTTCAAAGAGATAACTAATGAGATTATAGCAACTTAGAATATACTATACTAAGACATCTGATTGGTTGATCCTGCCTCCTCTAGTTGCTTTGACCCACCTCCTCAACAATCTGATCACTCTGAAAAAAAATTGTGTAAGTAGAACTCCCACAAGCTTGTTCACAATGTTCTGTTTAATATTAGTGCACTATTTTTTTGTTAAATAAATCTGGTTAATAAAAAATTTGGCTAGTGATGTAATGAACCAGGGAAAAATGTGGATCCTGAGGGTAAACCCGATGAGAACCGCTCATCTCCGCTACGGTGACACCCTGCCCTGTGAAGGCAGCTGAACGTGGCGGACCTCACACCCACCTGGCGCCGACCAGGAAACATCGTTTTTATGTAACACCTGAATATATGCAAATCTGCAGTCTTGTTACACTCAGTCCACTAGTGTATGATGCTCTTGAGCTGCAGGGTGAAACCACTGGAAAACCCACACAAACCACTGGGAGGACCTGCCTACCCCACTCACGCAGAGCTGGAGGCAGGACGCAAACCTACAACCCTGGCACTGTAAAGCCGCCGCTAAGGTTTTAAAATGCGACCGCTTGCGGGAAGGCACTAAATAAAAATAACAATAAATGCATCAAATTTATTTTTGAAAATCGCTTGTTTCATGTCAGCGCAAATGTTTCCTTTTCCACCGCAGCTGCTTCTGGTCCAGAAAGTAACAGCTCTGAAGAAAACTCCTCCGCTGGGAATTACCTGGGCGGCTGGAAAAAAAAAAAAAAAAACCCACTGTGCGCTATAAACAAAGGCTTGGCCCTGTTTCTGCCTATTTGGAGCTGGCGTCAGTCCCACTGCTCGCTTCCCACCCAAACCATGCATCTCCGACGTGAGTGGAATCCAATTTTAGAGTGACCCACGGCCGGTGAAATGCCGACGCGCCGTTTAGCGCTGAATGACGTCCGTTCGCTGCCGCCTGGCGGATTCCAGCTGGGGACGGCTCATTGGGGCACCGTTACAGGGGAAAATAAAAGATGAAGGACCATGGGGGAGATTGGGGGGGGCGCCACAGGGGGCCCGCAGGGTGTCACAGCCATTCTTGCCCAAGGACTGCTTGAGAAATGCTCTCGTTTGCTTCATCTACTGACTTCTGTGAAACAATCCGCTAATTTGAGGACCCGGACTAGTTTTACCTAAACTTGACCTCCGTCTGCTGCAATGTTCGTACTTTGTCATACATACACAGCCTCCCCTAAAATCAACATGGACCTTGCAGCATTATACAACAAAAACCTCCATCACACCAACTCTGTGAAGCAGCCAGGATTGTGGGCTATTATAAAGGTTAGATAATGCCCTCAACCCCCCCAAAAATGCTCCAGGGCAACCAGATAAATGGCTGACCCTGCAAGTAGACCCCAAGCTTTCAAGTATATATCGCTGCAGCCGGGAGCCGAGTGAGAGGGGCAATGTTGAGTAGGAGGGGTTTATAACAATTGGGTTAGGGTTTCAGATGATAAGTTATAAACCCCTCCCACATTGCCCCTTCCAATCAACATCCGGCTCTTGGCTGCAGCGATACACCCTCTCCAAGCTTCACTCTCGTGTACATATGTGTAAGTCACAAAAAAGAGCATGACGGGAAATCTGTGAAAACTAAAGATCTCCAACATACTAGTACTTGTGCAAATGGCAAATAAAAGCTAATTCCGTTTTGTTCTGTGACGTCATTCTCTTGTGACCCAAACGTTTAATGTAAATACGGGAGGAGAAAAATCTATCACGAGCATTAATCTGGGACGGCAGCCACTCCGGATGAAAAGGCACCTTTAATTAGGCTTGACAGCAAAACAGAGTGATTAATTTAAAAAACGCTCTACTCTTGCATGGGCCCAGGGACTGCGTGTGCTGGACGGAGAGGATGAACTCTCCAGCGCAGGAGGTTAAATCAGGAAACGGAGCAATGTTACAGGTTAAAGACCCAGTGCTCTTTTGGTGGGGGTGGGGGATTGAAGTCATCCAGTTAAGCCGATTAACCCATGGAGCTTCAAAAACGGGTGGGTAAACTGCCAAAAATGGCCGTTCGGTCGCTTAACAGCTGCGTTTACTGAAACACGGCACTGTCCGGGTGACAGTTTGAAAGGGGAGTTTATATAGCCGAAATTAAACTGAGGGACAATATTTTAGCTCTACAGCCTCTTCACAACACTCTCCGCAGATACAACCCTGGATCAAAGTGTCAGTGAGCAATAAATGAATTGTACAGTTTAGGGAAAAAGAGGCCAGTGAGCTGCACTCCTTAGTGTAAGAAGCACATCAGCCGTGATTTTCTCCCCAGACCAGAACAATGCCGATTCTATTTGCTTGATTTTTCTGTAATGCTGCCGAGACGTCCCCAATTATAACTCACAAAGTAACTTATGGCTGAAGGTCAAAAGGAAAGAAATTAGCTTGCTATGGGGATCACATGGGACAGCGGCATCGCACCAGCGCTACCATGGAGGGGGTGGACAAAACAAATCAGTACTTCAGTAAAAGACGTTTGTGTCCTCATTTGTCCTCGACAGCAAAGAAAATTCAGAGCAGTAAAGATTATTTCGCCTTCTCCTCAAATACCAAACGCAAAATTCAGCTTCCTGATACATCATTAAGAGTCGAAATGCCAAATGATTATGATCACGACAGACCAGACTAATTACAGAGTAAAATAACCTGATCAAATAAGATGCATTTAACTGGAAAACATCACAACATATTCCAAAGGTTAGGGGCCTGAAAGCCTTTTTATACAGATGTTGTAGCTAATTAATTAATCGACGTTAATTAGCGAATGAAGCATTTTTGAGAAGCGATTGTACGTTTGCTAGAAGCATGCATTTCCTATTGATGAGGGCAGTCCCGAACACGTGCTTTGTGGAGGTTACGCTGTGCACGGTGCACGGGTTAAGCAAGTTATAAGTGCACACACACACACACGCACACACACACGCACACACCTGTTATTGTGCAGACTAGAGTAGTATTCATTTAGGCATTGACTTGGAAAAGAATTTCATGTCATGTCTCTCTGTGTGTCTGTCTGTGTCTGTGCATGTCTGTGCCAGTCTGTCTGTGCATATCTATGCCTGTCTGTCTGTGTCTGTGCGTGTCTGTGCATGTCTGTGCCAGTCTGTCTGTGCATGTCTGTGCCAGTTTGTCTGTGCATATCTGTGCCTGTCTGTCTGTGTGTCTGTCTGTGTCTGTGTATGTATTTGTCTGTGTGTGTCTGTGCCTGTCTCCCTGTGTGTCTGTCTATGTACCTGTCTGTGTGTTTGTGCAGTGCCCCGCTCGTCCTGATCCATGCCCTGCTCACATAGCTGTCACCCCCCCCCCCCATATGTTGGCTGGCGCTGTGTGCCGTGGCGCGTGCCCACCTGTCTCCTGGTCACACAGGTGCTCACAGGGGTCTGTGGTTCTCTGCCCGCAGTAGTCCTGCACCCACTGGGAGGTGATGTTGTTCTGGTAGTACAGGGTCAGCCTGGCCGGGTTCAGCCAGTTTGACAGGTCCAGGTAGCTGCCCATGCTGACCACAAAGCTGCTGCCTGAGTCCAGGGACAGAAGATAGCAACCAAAAGATAGTCAGCAACACAGAGCGCTCCAGTGTGCCCTTTGTTTGGTATGTCACGCCTGTGATTCCCATCAGATGCAATAACGCCGGCACAGCAAGAAGAGCTGTGTATTTTTCAACAAGTAAATGAAATTAAATAGGTCAAATTAATTATAATTATATTAAGTGTGTATGTTTTTAGAAAATATTTCAGCGATCCGTCGTGTGCTGCAGAAGTAGCCCCATTTTAATTTCAATTTTTTTATGGAAGAAAAAAGATTTCATAATTTGTCATTGTTAAAAGGATTATGTACTGCTAATTTAAAAAAGAAAAAAAAATGCACAAAGTGCTGAAGCAGTAACAGTATTAAATTATAGTGCGTGTGTTGTGGAGGGTAACTGTGCCCATACAGCTAATCTCCCCCATGCAGTTGGCCCGGAAAGTTCTCTCCAATAATAAGCACATTTTAACAGAGCCGCCACATGCCCCGCACTGCAGAATTGTGGGAATCCTATTTACCGTGAATCAGCCCGACGACACTATTTGACCCAATGGCGTCTAACAGATAATCGTCCAATGGCTTTCATGTCGATTCCTTTTATTTACTCCTCCGCTAAGATTTAACTTAAGTTAACCCGTCTTCATTTGCTTTCCAAACAAATCTTTAACTATATGCAGCGGAGGGGGAAAAAAATCAAAGTTGTCAGTTTTACAGTAATGCAGTTTGCGTCGCTCCTCTGGTTTAACGAGACGAGAAAAATCAATGCTAATGCAGTCGGACTGCAAAGCCCGGCGAGCAGATTTTATTTCTATTTGTGTCACCCCGCGTAGCGAAACCAAATGGTACAGGGACAAATATATTCTAAAAAAAAAACGCTTTATAATAGCAATTTAATAGCTGGCTGAATCCAAAACTGAACTGTAAAAGCTGCGAGCAGGAACTGAACTTTAGTCTCGTTAATCTGACATAATTAGAAGGGAAACTAGGGAGAGAATTAATACCCATCTTCGGCAGGACATCGGCTCCCCCCAGAAGTGTATTTAAGCACCGGGTCAGAGATAACGGCACCTTTGTTAAAGAAAAAGGCCGCTTCAGCGATGTTGAGACGGGCACCGGCTTAATGAGCTGACTGATCTTTATTTTATTTCTTTCTCTCATGGTGTTAAAAAGTTTAAGGTGTGGCCTATCACTGTGGATTTTAACTGACACCTAGAGGTGACTGAGAGCATGGGGGCTGTTTAGGAGACAGCCGGTGTGGAAGGCATCGCTGTGACCTGGCCCCATGGTTCATGTCAAAAAAACCTGTGAACTTCCGTCTCCAAGTTTTGGATTTAAAAGTGACAGAGGATTTATGTAGACTGCTTGCTCAAGGGTCCAACAGTGATATGATCTCTGTGTCAGGCAGGGGATTTGAACCTACAACCTTCTGGGCGCATGGGTACAGATTCGTAACTATGCTGAGCCATACTGTGCCTCATCCATCCAGCTACTTGCTTATCCAGGAGAGGGTCATGGTGACCTTGGCATCTCTCCCAGTAATCACAAGGCACAAGCCTGGGCACACTCTGGATGCGTTGCCAGGGTAGACACACCATCACACACTAAGGGCAATTATAGAGATATAAATTCACCTAGCTGCATTTTTTTTGTTTGTTTTTGGACTGCAGGACAAAGGTCACACAGACACGTAAAGCTATCCCCACACACATAGCTGTGGGCGTGAATCGAAACCCCCAAACCTGCAGGTGTGAGCCCAAAGAGCCACCCCCCCTGTAGCCTCCTGATATCCCAGACGGAGGGCTGGCTCAGGATCTCAGGATCGCTGGCGTGATCAATGCTGTAGCTTGCCGACAGCCGCGCTGCACGCATGTCACGTTTATTAGTGAGGCTGGAGATGTCCACTCGGGGGAGAGAGAGGGCCACTCCGGCAAACGCATATCAAGTTTTCGGAATTAGCCGCAGTAAATTAACCTACTCTGACTGTGCATCTCCGAGTCTCTGCGGCTCGCCCACCTGCTCCACGCATCCACCCACTGCTAGTGTCAGAAGATAAGGGCGCTTAATTAAATTGCTTCTCTCTCCCATTTATATGCTTTTTCATATTTATGTAAAACATTTATAAAAATATTTAACAATCAATCACTGGCTGAAATTACTGGCAGACACACACACACACACACACACAGGCCCTAACTTCCTTGCTTGCCCTACGCTGTGCCGGATAGAGCATCACACACTGGAGTTTAGATAAACACACAGCTAGCGGAGTATGGAGGAGGGCTCACCATCTGCGACGAAATGCTCTGGGACGTGCAGGGTCACCTTCACCGTGAGGGGGCACGACAGCTGGCTGCTGTACACCACAGCCAGAATGCAAGTGCTGATAGTGATTAATGTCAAAGTGGCCTTGTTCATGGGGCTCTGCGGGCAACCTGAAGGGGGAGGAAAGGGGAAAGAGGGGGCTGATGGGTAACGGGGGGTGCCAGGAGAGCTGGCGCGGCACTGGTCCCAGCTGCAGCTGGTCACTGGTCCCGCTCTTCATCTCCACGGAAGCGTGACACCATGAATTTCATCCACGACTACGACAGGAAATGATGCCACTCACCCCCAAACCCCCCGGATTTGGCAGCAAACCCCGCACTCTGGTGACCCAATGGGTGAGGGTCATAAGTCTGGAGGCGAAACAATCCCTCCATGAGCCAACGAAACAGAGAGGAAACAAGTCAAAGCTGTGATGGATGACAGATGATGCAATCGCCCTCTGACATCATCCCCCGGCACTGGCCCACGCCGACCCACACGCCACACAAAAAGCGGTAACATGTAAAACATAATATATATGCATGTGAGGACATAAAAGGGGTGCCAACTCCGCAGGGGCTCTGACAGGTGCCCAGCTGGAGCTCGCAGCCGTCACAGAGAGGGGCGCCGAACCAGACAGGTTCTGCTCCCTTCTGTCCCATTCAGGGCTTTAATCTATGGCGGGCCATTTCACAGCACCCCTTAATCAAAAGCAAAAAAAAAAAAGGAAAATAGAGAATGATGAGGAGAGAGAGAGAGGATAGCGAAGGACATGACAGGAAGGAGGACTGGGCTCAGTCCGGGTCCTGCTGGCCCACATGACGTTCGTACGGACAGCCCGTCCCCCGAGTCCACTGGTGAATGAGGATGTATGAGGGTCACTTTCACACTTAATGGTACAGCATCACCATTGTGGGCCAAGGTCCGCTGTCACACCCCTGCAAACCGGACAGCGATACGGACGAAGATAGGACTTCATCCTGCGATAAAATGAGGATGGACATAAACTGGGAGAAGGTATAAAATCTTGGCTAAATGAGCAGAATGGCTTCATAATGACGATGCAGGGTTAAAAGGTCACGTCTCTGAGTGTATATCTGCAACTTCCCATGGCGCGGCTGCGAGATGTTTCTGTGGATTTACAAGGCTGGCAACGAGACTGAAATATGCATCCCCACTTTTATACTCAAGCTCCCCCCTCCCCATGTGTATCATCTGGAGTTGGCGTCGTCTTTTAACGTGCTCTCTCTGACAGCGTGCCATCTCCGGCTGAGCTGCAGACTTCGGATGAAGGTATCAGCCAAATCATATTTTAATTAATGCCATTAATAACAGCTGTCAGAACAGGTACACAAACAACATGCTATGGGGGGAAATTAACTGCGCTATAAAGTCTTTTTTAAGCCCTAAACTCGCCGCTGTAACTCCTGGCTCGCCCGGGATCTCATCCCACCTGAGCTGCTTGCGCCTTGCCGACACTTCCTGCTAATCTGATAAATTTATCATACCTTTCACACCACGCGCTCCTTTTCTCTCCCTCACACATGGCCATCCCTCAGTTCTGCTCAGCAATCTGCTTTTTTTTTTTTCCAGAAAATGTCTGTAAACGGCGTGAAAGCTTAACATGATTCCAGAGGTGCGATTTCCACCACGTGAAAGGATTTGTAAATTAGGTGGCACCAAAGTTTTGATGACAGAGAAAAGTGTGTGTGTGTCTGTGTGTGTGTGTGTGTGTGTGTTTTGAGGTTTGTATGGCTTTTGTGTTTTATCCACTTCAGCTTAGTTCAGTCTTTATTGTTGTCACAGTACATGTCGGCACAAGAAGACTGAGTGAGAAACTCCCTGAGCCGTGTGAACAAAAACACAATGTATGTAATATGTAAACAAAAAAACTGCAGTATAAATACGCTATGTGGAAAATATCAATGGATAGATACTATATGGGGGTGCAGTGCGGGGCGCTAAAGTATGAAAGCTCCATCACTCAGGAGCAACATGTAACAATCTTTAGTGGAACAATCAATGGATGGTTGGACATCCTTACTAATTTGTGGTACCGTTGTAATACAGGAATCAGTCACGTGTCATGTTGCCTGGGGTGGAGGGGGGTTAACCTGAGTCCGCTTTATACCCAGGGGGGGCTGGATTCAGGAGAAAGAGAGTTCTCGCCACAGTCGATAATCATGACTCACCCCCCCAGTCCTGGTTACCTTTTGTATCCCCAGTGGTGACAGGTGTCCATGGCAACGGTGTGAAGACTCATCTCTGAGAGCTCATTCGATAGTAAGTGTGTGTTGGGGGGGGGGGTTGGGGGGCAGGCTTTCAAACTGGCCCGATAGCCAATAAACTTGCCTGAGTTCATGTTCTTTCTTCTTCTAAGTCAAATGAAAAAGTAAACATGAATCTGGTACACCCCCGTCTTCTGCCTGATGCAGACTGGGATAGGCTCTAGGCCCTCGCCATCCTGACTGGCTAGAAGATGGATGGATTGATCGATAGATGGTTGGTTGGATGGATGCAATCGTACCTTATTGGAAAATATACATCAATACAGACAGCTTTTGAATTTAATAATAAATGAATAAAATTAGATGCTTTTTTCCTTCTTCCTCGTGTACAATATTTTACTTGCTTCAGATGCATGTATTTATCCATCCATCCATCCATCCATCCATCTGTTTATGGAGAACCATACAGGGGTGGTGGGGAGGTGTGGCCTACCCCAAGCAGCACCGGGCACAAGACAGCGGGCTCACCAGATTCAATATGCTTATTAGAATAAAATGTGTGAATTCAGCCTCCCCGATGGAATGGTGGTCTCGTTCCCATGTGAGGAACCAGTCATCGAGACAGCAGGAGAACAAGAAAACAGATTAATCTTACTGCCATTTTCAGACATCCAAAAACGCTCCAGCTGCGTCCAAAAGCAATATGGAAGAGAACGATGATGGATCCTGCTAATTACTACTATGATCTTTGCTACAGGAGGGCCGTTCCCCCTACTGTGCTGCTTACAAATGTACATCCTCATAACGGGCCGTGATGGGGAGGGGCTTACAGCACGCCTGCACACAAGGACCGCCATTATCACCGAGGCTCCTTGGTAGGCAGAGAAGCGCTCTCTCTCTCTCTCTCTCTCTCTCTCTCACTCATACACACACACACACACACACACATTCATTTCTAAGGGAAAAACCATAATCCCATCAATGACATCCTTAACCCCTCTGCCAGCCCTAACATTAACCATAAGTCACCAAACAAAATAAAAAATACAAAAGTCTTTTGGCACTTTTAGTTTTTTGACTGGTCACAGCTGTTTATTACATTGAATTTCCCCTTGAGGGAACAATGGTCCCCACAATGTCAGAATAACAGGTTAACAATGTGTGGACAGAAACAAACACACAGGCACACACACAGACAGCAAAAAAGAAAAAGTCAAACTGCATGAAAACCTCGAGAAACAGTGTTTAAAAATGTGATAGCAGCCAAAAGATGATCAAATTAAACCAGCAGACAAAAGCAGTAAGACAGACAGGGTCAGACTCCCAGAAAGGCGTTGGTATGTGGAAGGCACCCTCTGCACTGGGAGCTGGTGAGTCACCCTCCGCTGGGGCCCTGTTACTCTGCCACACTCCCGCACTGACGCACCCCGTGGGCACGGCTTAATCAGGTTACCTAGGCCGCAACGGCGCCCCCTGTGGGCACGGCTTAATCAGGTTACCTCGGCTGCGATGGCGCCCCCTGTGCTGCTCCGTGTAGAATTTCAGCTGCGCGTCATCCTCTGCATCTGATCCCGAGTCCCCAGGACGGCCGAACACGCTGATCCCTGGGGAAAGAGGTGGGTGTCGGGGAGGGGGGTGGAAGACATAGAGGTGAAAAGAAGAGCCGGACAAACAAACAGCAGTAAACAAAAAAACAGAAATGAAATAAGAAAAAAAAAAAAGCAATATTCTCAACAAGCGATTCAGACTGGGCCTGAGCCAAGGAACAGTCACTGGCCCCCACCCCGCTGTCAAATTCCAGAGAGTTAATGGTGACAGGAGGAGTGGCGCATCATTCACGGAGACCCCCCACTTCCCTGTGCGTGACACCATCCCCCAGAGGCGGTGATGAATTGATCCGTCTCCTACAGGAGGCCCGAGGCCAGAGAGGACTCCCTGGTGCTCCGCGACGGCGTGCTCCTGGTCCGTGGACCTCCTTCCCTCCAGACTACATTAATTTTCTCAGCTGCTAAGCATCCATGGGAAAAACCCCTCTAACTTGCAAATAATTGAATAAAAATCAGAGTAAAAGGCTTGGGGAGTTTCCTCAAAGAAAGGAAAAAAGTCACAAGTTAACAAATGAAATTAAGTTGCCCTGTTCTTCAAGGACCGTGAGAAGTTAGGAAGTGATTCGATAAGCAGAGCCGACGCAATAACCAGGAGATACTCATCTGTGCTTTCGGAGTGAGGCAGGAAGTTTGAGCTGTTCTTAAATAAGTACACTTGAAAAGGTGATCCTGATGGTAAAATCGGAAGGTAATCTTTGAGTGAAATGAGGACAGGAAAAGCTACGAAGCAAAATGTAAAGCCTGCCAGATCCTGAATTAATTACCAGTGAAAACTAAATGTCCGTAAGCGGCGGATTTCTGATTGTGAAGGCCTTATAGGTACCAGACTCCCATCTGGAGGATCGGCCGCTCATGGTTATTGACTGCAAGCACTGGAAGAGTTAATTACTTGACTACTTCCTAAGTCAGGTACATGTTCGATGGGCTTAATGAGACAGAGATCCTTAAATGTTCACCGAGCAGATCGAAGTGGCCCGTGAGATACAGAATTAATTAAAGGTTTGGAAGAACTCGTCTCTACAGGTGAGATTATAACATGAAAAGAGCATTAAATTTCAGTATTACATGAAACCTTTACATTGAGGTAACAGGCAGTTGTCACTAACCTGCCAGACCACCCACTGCACAGAGCACAAACATGGCACTAGCATAGACGTAAGGATGCTTACCATCCAGAAATCCATTGCTATTTATTTTAATTATTACACAGGCCACAGCCTCCACTTTTCCCCCGCCCGGAGCATTCCGAATGTCATTACGTACAATTACAGGAAGGACTGATGAGATCTTCAATTGTTTAATTGGGCCTGTGTTGGTAATGCACAAGATGACTTCATCCATGTGAGGAGGCTGCTAGCGTGGAAATGCTAGAGTACTATTTTCCCTGTCCCTCAAGCTGAAACACCCCTGGGGACAGGATGTGGACCAACCCAAGTCTCCTCCACTGCCCTGGCTCTGCACAATGTTTGTGTCATGACGACTGTCAATTTTTATGGTCAGCAGCGCTGTTTCTCAATTTAAACCAGTGTTTCTCAAACAAGGCCTTAGGGACCCCCAGACAGTCCATGTTTTTGCTCCCTCCCAACTCCCAGGGAATTGGGAGGGAGCAAAAACATGGACCATCTGGGGGGTCCCCCAGGACTGGTTTGAGAAACACTGGTTTAAGCCATGCATTTGTGTGGGGGCCCCCTGCTGGCCACAAACAGTCACTACACTAGAGGGGGCCCCAAAGTGATAGTGGGGCCCCTGAACCAGTAAGGCCATCCTTGTTTAGGGTACCGCCAGGACACCTGGTGGCTTGGGCCAAGCATGGGGTTCACACTAATGGAGCGATCCGCAGGCAGGCTGGAGCACAGATAATTGCTCAGGATGATTAAGGACTTTAAGCGGAGTGATCTGCTGGATCAATTAGTCAGGGTGTGAAAGAGACCAAGAAGTAGCAGCAGGAGAGAAATTAGCGAGGCAAATAGTCTGAGTGGCCGCAGCAGATCTTGGGAGGATAAAAAGGGGGGATTTCGTTGATGGATTCGTCTGTTTGGGCTCGGTGTCACATGCACTTGAATAAATGCACTTTGTCTGTGGTTTAACCCCACTGGCTTGCAAACAGTCCCATTTTAAATGGCTCTCAGAATCGTTGTGAAATATGACCGTTTTGGCTTTAATCTGGCTGCCATGTTGGATTTTAACACTAAACTCTGCTTGAACAACCACTTACCCAGTACAGGGTAGTGAGAGTCTGGAGCCTGTCCTAGGAATCACAGGGCACAAGGTAGGGGATTTTCTGGATGCCAGTTCACCAGAGGACAAATGCCCACACGCAATTTCTCAGAAATTCACCTAGCTGCATGATTTCTGGCCTGCAAAAAGAAACTAGTGGAAACTCGGAAGAAACGGACCTAAACACAGCGAGAAGAGGCAAACGCAGGAATGGGAGCCAGGGCTGGGATGTGAACCCACAACCCCGGACTGTGGCCGCCTGCTGAGCCACTGCGCTTGCTGGCAAGCTATAATCATGGTGGGGTTTATTAACAGTGAGTTGGGGGGGTCCTTTTGGATTTTGAGATTTGCTAAATTGCCCATCAGAGCTGGGACGCGTCCCACCTCCGCGCCATTTCCACCGGCACGCTTCCTGTCACACCGAAGATGAACGCAGCTTGGGTGATGGCAGGCCCGGTGCATCGGCATAGCACCTCCCCGTCACCGCACACACACCCCAGCACGGCCCGTCTTCACCCAAGGACCTTCAATGGACTGTGAGACCTTTGTGTGACACGCTTCATGGTACCGCACTACGAGAGACACGCATAAATGTGGCAAGACTGGTGATAACAATGTGGATTATTTTGTTTTAATAGTGCAAACATTTCAGTCACAGAAAAACGGGGCCAATTTTAATGAAACCTTTAAACGGCTTGAACGTGACAACATGCCCTACGTCTAAATACTGGAGAAAATTGTTTTTTAAACTGAGGCTGATATCGTACAGCTCGGGGTGGTATTGTGCTGATATCTTTAAATTACTGCATACAAACATGCAGCCTATGAAGATAATTACTCTCACCTCTTCATATACAGACACCCCCCCCCCGACCACCACTGGCTTTACACTCCACAAAGCCAACGTCTGCGAAGACGCAAAATGCTGAGAACGATGACGTTGCTTTCTAGTGGCGCCGCTACACTCACGGCGCCTGAGCCTCCTACCTCCAGGTAGGTAACGTCCGTCACCTCGGCCTCTCGTCAGCATCTGCCGCATCCAGGAATATGAAATAACCAGCCAGGCTCACCCCCAACCGTGGTAAATCCGGATGTAAAATATAGAAGACTTAAATGGTCCAATTAAAGCCCTCAGACGGGCCCAAACTGATGCATCTCTCTGTGAAATATAAGGGCCTTTAATTTGTTGCACTCCATTAGTTACGACGAGAAGCCTATCACCATTAAATATTGATAGGGTTCAGAGATTAGCTCGGATGATCCATGGTCTGGCAACGGTATCATAAGTCATCTTTTCATTTCAAAGCTAAATCACCCCTGCTGTTTTCTGGCTGCTGTAAACTCGATTTCCTTAATAACTCGGGACCCACCCCTCCAAAAAGTGATACCGGGAGAAGGTTACATTGACATTTCGTTAATCAAACAATGTCTATCACACCCCCTCCCTGTTCTGACATGCCCGGTGTGCAGAATCGTCTCAGGTAACTTGAAGGACGATTGTAAGAGGAAGAAGCATGGGCTGATTTTTGCCCTCGGCAGCTAATCCGGCCTCGGGGTCGATGCAGCGCACCAGAAGCAGGTAGGTGAACACTGAACATTTCAAACACAGGCCCGTTATCTGCCCTGACGGGGTGGAATGGGCAGCCGTAAGCCTGCGAGCTGTAATTAGGGAAAGATATGGCCGGCCTAGTCAGCCTGATATCCATTAATTTCACACCGTGAAACCTAATCTTTCTTTGCGTCATGTGATCCATGGTCCTGCGGCCATCATAACGATTGTGTGTAGATAATGGTACCTCCACATTTGATGGACGGCAGAAAGGCTCTCAGTGCTGGGTATCGACAGGGCCGTTCCATTCCAAAAAAAGTTCTTCCCAAAATATCATAACCATAATTACTGGGGATGCTTGTCAGCCAACACCTACAGCTCTTAGAGGTGGAATGGAGATGTTCGGAGATGTTTGGAGGTGATGCAAAGAAACCTCCTGTGGTACAGAGCTGTCATACAGACGGATGTGGGCATCTTCACGTAATGGGCAGTGTGAGGAAGCACTGGGAGAGGATCAGACTGAATTTCCCTAGGATTGCCGCGGTCTAATTGTCTCATTAGAATATTTCACGCATACAGGGTGTCTCAGAAATATTTGCAACATCGAAATCCACAAAACATTCCCTTTGAAAAGCTTTCAAATCCCTCAGTAATCCAGATTTCACACTGTCACCATTACTGGACCTGGGCAAAACATTCTTCGATTTAGGGCATCACTCTTAGGTTGTTTTTCTTCACTAAAATGTCATGCCGGCACCCACCTTTAATTACCCTCCAAATTATGGGTAAGGAATTGAATTTTAATTACAGAAAAAGATGCGTGTTCATTACACACCGTGCTACTTTGAATCTCACATAAAGTAAATAAATGCTTATAAATACAGTGACTAATATATCACACACATTAAAATGTATTTATGAGTTACATCCTACGTATTCAGCTTCACGAGCAGAAGGTGAATTGTTGTGTGTGGCTTATGGCTGACTGATGCTTTATGATCTGCTACTCATCCACATCCCCGCGTTACACTAGAAGCCCTGAATGGCACATGTGCTATAACACAAGGCCTCAGCGCGACAGGTCAGCTCATTTCGGGATTATGGGTCATTTTAAAGTTTCAGTGCTAGCCATGGGTCGACGTCCACTTCAAGTCACAGCAAAGGTTTTTTTTTTTTTTTTTTCCCCGTCGTTCTTTGAAAAGGTCGGGTTCCGCCATAAATGATTGGCTTG